AGATGTTTTGTTAAATTGAATAAGTGTTGGAGTAGGGACTTGAAAAGTGCATAACTTTATATTTGTATAAAGCTCTACTGTTTACAAAGAAAAAAAATAAAAAGTTACAAGAAATTAAAAGGAAAAGGAAAAATAATTTAAGCATTAACATCTTTTTTTAACTTAACTTTATTGAAAATCAATAATTATATAACAAATTAAAAACTGTAGACAAATGTATATAAGACATAGACAGAGTGAATTTTTTTATTTTATTTTATTTTTTGGCAGAATCAAGGATTGAACTCAGACCCTCACACTTGCCAGGGAAACGCTTATTCTACTGAGCCATTTCCCTGGCTTGACAGAGTGAATTTTAGAAAAATATTTCTGAAATGAATACATATCATGAGATTAATAATAGATTGCACATTGTAAAAAATTATTTACAAACTTAAATGAATAAACAATAAAAATAGTCTACAATAAACATGAAGGGCTGGCCAAATAGCTCAGCACATTAAAGCACCTGCAAGCAGGCACTAGGGTCAGGAGTTTGATCCCCAGGCCTGCCATGCTGGCCCCGCCCCCAAGGGCACACTGAGCCGGCAATTGAGACTAGGCGTGGTGGTGAGGGCCTGTAATCTCAGCTCTTGGGAGGCTGTAAACAGACATATCACTATGAGTAGGATCTAGTAGTGAGGCCCTAAACACCCTGTAGACCCTTCCCTAAAATACAAAAAATAAACTAAAAAATAAACATGAAGAAGAGTTTACAAATCAGTCTTATAATAGTTCACTCAGCACCAAAGTCAAGAAACTTATATTCATATAATTAGAATTCTCAAAGTAGAATTCTAATTAAGAAACTAGACTTATTCATTCAAAGGACTGAAAAAAATCTATCTTCATTAAATTTTATACTTAGCAAACATAGCTTTGAAAACTAAAAGTAAAATATTTTCCAGTTTTACAAACTTGAAATATTCTAATACCTCCAGACATACCATATAGAAAATTAAAAAAGACCATAATCCAGAAGACAAGAGAAGTTGCTGTATGGTCCTGGATAAAGAATAAAGAGCTCTCAAAATGGTAGTTATGCAGGACTATGGAAAATATAATTATATTAGATGAACCAATTTAAAAGGTCA